TAGTGATCTGAGACCAGAGTTTACTGTTTTTGGCGAAGAAGTCAAAATCGCCGACACAATAGAGACCGCGTTTGGCCCGCGAGAGGGCAACGTTGACCCGATTGGGTGTCTTCAGGAAACCGATTTGTTGGTTGGCATTGCTTCGCACGAACGACACCAAAATCAGCTCATTCTCTTCGCCCTGAAAGTTGTCAATAGTGGTGGCGCTCATTGTCTCGCACTCGGGATCCGATCGCAACAGTCGATTGATTAGTATGAGTTGCGAAGAGTAGGGCACAAGAATAGTGATCTCCCGCTTCTCGTAGCACTGGTAGAGCAGGTGTTTGGCCAGACGTACCACAAATAGGGCCTCGTATTCGTTGGATTTGCTCATCCGCTCGTCGTTTCCCTCTTCCGGATGTGAATGAGTGATGAAATACATGTTTCGCTTCAGACCTGACCAGAAAAAAATCAATTAAAAAATAGCATTAAATTTAAGCAAAAAAGTGATTAATCAATCAAAAACCTGTGACATTCTCGTAGTGGCGGACACTCTCGTGATCGTCGAGTTGTTTGTAAATATGGGGAACCAATAGTCGAGAGATCTCTGGTCTCATCCGGTGCTGAAGTTTTAACTGATTGAATGGCATTCCGTTGTTAATCATGCGCTCAAACAGAGAGACATCCAAATTGTATTTGACGGCCAACTGATAGACAGCCGGCTGTGGCCGCAGTTGCTTGTGGTCACCGATTAGGATCAGGTGTTCAGTGTTTCTGGTCAACGACGTGATGATATGACTCTCGATCACTTCGGCCGCCTCTTCCACCACCACTATCTGCGGGTCAATCCTCTCCAGAATGGATCTGTTTTTGGCGGCACCCGTTGTGGTCATACCGACGATATCAGTGCCGCCGATCAACAGTACATCGGTGTCGACAAACAGCCTTTTCTGGGCCGCGATCTCGACGTCAAACCGATCGTTGAGTTCATCGAATTGCCATTTCTTTATCCTAACATAGATTTGGACCCAAAGTCTGTAAAGTTTCCACCGATTCGTGTGCGACAACTGTGTTATGTCCGACAGACAAACGGCTTCTTCGTATGTCATCACGTTTTTGGACGATATCTCGTTTATCATCACTCGTTTCAGTTGATCCCTAACTGATTGCGGGATCTGTTTCAACGTCTTTCGGTTTGCAGTGAATATTGTGTTGCAATTGAAGTTTTGTGCCTTATTTGCAGTCTTAGATCTTAAACCAATTTCAACATTTTGGTCAAACTCTCGGCTCTCGACAATTCTGGCCACTTCTGGTTCGCCGATTTGGCCCTCGAAGTAATTGATCCGTTTGTTGCCATAACTATTGTTCACATTAACAGCATTTGACTTTTTAACCGACTTTGAAACGGTATTGTAATCACAACTCGTGAGCCATTTAATGAGCGCCAAATCAAACTCGTTTGAATAGTTTGCGAGCAGGCATTTGATCTGCGATCTGATCCATGGCTCCACTTTCTTCGTCTCGTCCCACAAGTATTTGGGATTCAGTAAATCGTGGCCACAATTGCTAATGTGGGCATCAATTTCGGTGATCCTCGCGTGAATATCTTCTAACCTTTTGTATGATTTAA